TTTATCTAATATGTATTGAAATTTGGTACAATATTTGGTACATCGTACCGGAGCGTCCCGAAGCGTACCGAAATGAGTCTACCCCCTTCGTACCAAATTTCAGGGATATAGCGAATTGCGTACCGTGTACCCGTACCAAAGCGTACCGCAAATTATGTGACTATGGTTAATATAATGTCTAGAACTGAAAAAAGATCCAATTTTGAAACTAACACAGTAAAATAACAAAGCACAAGAACATTTTTGTAATTTACTCAAAGGTTAAAATTTTGTGATTCTTATGTCCATTTGGAAATCCTAAATGACGCTAAAGTCTTAAAAATTAGGGGTAATTTTGGAATATATGAAAAGTTTATGACTTCAAGATATGTATTTTACACTCACATGACAGTTTATATAGTTCTTTTCCTTTACATCTTTTCAGTAATATAGATGGCATAGCTCGGGATGCTGGTAGTGTAGATGTTGAAGAAGTTGTTCTGCTTCGTAAGCATCTTTTTATTCCATTTTTACCCTCCCTTTACTTTAATGTATTTTTTTGATTTTGTATTCTGTTTGTACATATGGAAGAGTTACAAATGGAAATGGAAAATCTTTGTCATAGTAATCGAGTTACACAAGATGAAAAAGTAGAGATTTATCAGCTCTTATGTGAAATGATGGAGGTACTACTCTTTAGATTAATCTTCATACTCCTATATTACAACTATATTTATTTTATTAAATAGTTATTTTAAACTGTTAGTTATGATAGGGCATTATTAGTTGGATCAGGGTGAAGAAAAATTCATTGGGAAGCATAGTTTTCAACATAATGCATCATGGTCAGTTCTCTTTTATATATATATATATATATATATATATATATATATATATATATATATATATATATATATATATATATATATATATATATATATATATATTGAAGTTTTGTTCATGTTATCATATATTTTGTTTTATAAGCCATATATATGATTTGTATATTGCACAACTACTATTTTAGTTGGACTGGTGATAAAGCTTTAAAAGAACTTGAAGAAGCAAGCATATCAAAGTAGTGCTTCCCAAGCTTACAAGAATGTGTCAGAAAAGTAATCCTCTTCAGCTGCATTTCTCGATCAAAATTAAAAAGATTTACTTTGAGTTTTTATGTCACATCTAGTATTTTTTAAACATCCATTTTTTCATACAGTTAAGATTAAGTTACATAGATGGTCCCTGAGTATTGCTGTTTAGGTTCCAAAAAAGGTTTCTTTTGAAAATTTTGGTTGTCATTTAATGTTTTTTCGCTAATGTTTTTAGTCATTAGTCTGAAGTATCCTAATGAATGAGGTCCCTGTTCCATGTAAAAATTCTATATTACCCTTTATCTATACTACCTCTGTGGCTACGTCCTTATGAAGTCCTTATGAAGTTCTTATGAAGTTCTTGTGAAGTTCTTGGCACGTCATCTTACACAGCTCTGATTGAAACAATTCCAGATACGGTACAATATTTTATTTTATTTTTGGTTTGAAATATAATAATCTCTAAAATTTACTCCACTTGGGTTTATTGTAAGCATCAATTCACTCTATCAAAAGTAGATTCCCCAATATCATGAGCTTGCATGACTTTTTTGTACCCAAATATCAAGAAAATTCGTCAAGTTATAAGCTTGCACATGTATTTAAATGATCTTAAACGAGTGAAGTTTATCGACTATGAGTTCAATAGCCGATGAATTTCCTTATAATAACTTTCTTTACTATTCAATTTCAGTAGTGGAACCAGTCTAAATATTTTTTAAGAGAGTGAAGTTTATTCTAGTGGGCTTATTGGTCCTATCTACAAGTTGATTGACTGCGAAGAAAAATATTTTACTGCTGTTGAAGTGATTGTTGGGAAAAGGTTTGTTTGTACAAAGTCCTTGGATGCTTTTTTTTTTTTTAAGAATTTTGAATTTGGTTTCCTTCCTTTGAACTTTCTTATGCAGCTTAGTCAATATGGCGGTGGACAATACTAAGACAACTTTTAATGTTCCAATCAATACATTTATACATATACATACAAATACACAAATCGGATATACATACAAATACATTTTCCATTATAGCATCCTACTTTTTTTTTTAATTTATACACAAATACAAAAACTACATGCATAATTTTCTATACATGAAGATATATATATACAAGAATAATACACATCCAAAAACACATATACATACATCATACAGATACAATGACACATATATGATACACATACAAATACATAAAATCACACACATACATCATATATATCGAAAATACACATATCGAAACATCATATACATACATCATACACACCTAAAATACTCATATACATACAAATACATATATAAATATACATATGTATACACAAAATTAACATATTATATATAAAAAATAGAAAAAAAAAACATGTTGTTTTGTGGTTGTAAATGCAAATTTCGGCAAGAACTGTGTTGTTGGCGGTAAAAGGTAAAATGCTAGTGGGGATCGACAGCAACAGTTCTACAATATGGGGATCTCAAATATCGAACAAAATACTCAAAATCCGTTCAACCAAACAAGTATATTTAGTGGGGAGAGGAGCAAACTAAAAGAAAAAAAAAAGGAAAAAAATCGAAGTCTCACCTATCAATGTCGCCGAAAATGGTGCATTGGCGCCGTTGGTGTGAAGTTGTCGGTGAAACCTTTGGGATCACTAGTGGTGAGCTTTGGTCTCCGGTGTCGTGGACATCGATGTGGCTTTGGACATAAAAAGTTGAGGATTCAGTGGACAATATCGATTGAGGAAAAAGATGTGACTGAAAAGGAAAACACAAGGGAAGGGGGTATTATCTGCATAGAGTATTAGCAATGATGATACCCTTTAAAGGCGACGAACGGAGTATTAGTGGCGACACATTTAGAGAGAATCGTTGGCAGTACTTTTCCCAAGTATTAACAACGACACTATCGCCGGTAAAGGTTGTGCATGATGCGGATTCCTAGCCGTTGGATTAGGCACTAAATCAATTGCTATAAGTTCACCCCGACACGTATTGGCGTCGAATAGATTTTAGCGGCGGCGCTTTTAATAGCAATGCGCGCCTTATTTAGTGGCGACAAATAACGTGAATGTTGTCTATCGCTGCTAATGGTTATTATTCTTGGGATGCACCGATCAATCTAGAAGAAATAAAATCTAGAAGGAATAAGAAGGCTGCATGAAGAATTCTCTTTATTTTTAATTTATTAATTGCTTTTCGAAATGAAAGTTATGGTCTTTGCAATATAATTTATTTAATTTCAATAATATATAATTATATAAATATGTAAAAACCATTAAAACACTACAAATCCACTTGCTAAAGCTTTTATTGTGTATTTTCTTTAGTAGTATATAAGCATTTTTAGATCATTTTTATGCAATTAGCATATATTAGATTAACATTTATCCTTTTAAATTATTTTAAATAAGTTTTAATAATATATTATTTTATTTAAGGGTCGAATTCTTGAGAGGTAAAAATAAGTTACTTCTCTTTTTTAATTTATGCAACAATAAGTCTTTAGATGAAATATACAACAACTTTTGATCATATAAGTAATTAAAATTTTTCATTTTTCGGTTTTTGTTTTTATACATGTTTTTATAAGATTTTTTCATTTTTTCATATATTTTTTTTATATATAAAATCGTTATCCTACCATTTTTTGAATATTTGTTTTTATGTATGTAGAATTGCAAACATTATTATACTCATTTTTATATATGTAGAATTAAAAGAAGAAGTAGATTTATTTCTAGATATTTCTGTTTACAAACAAAAATTGCACTGCTGTACAACCCATGCACTCTTGTTGTTGCATTAAGGTGCGTGCGAAACCTAGTTAATTTTAAGAGTAAACTAAATGAATGGTGAGTATGGTTTTCGGTAGTTTGCATGTTGGTTTTTAATTTGAAAGGTTTTTACAGTTTGTTTTTATTGTGTTTGGTATTTATCTTATCTAAAAAAATTGTTTTGCCATTGAGTTTTTAATTTATTTAAATAAACACACTAATCTTACTTCCACATCTCCTTATCTTACTTTATCTATCCATCTTATTTAAATAAACTAAAAAATCAATGATAAAATTATCTTTTTATGCAAAACAGTGATCCAGCGCACAATAAAAACAAATTATAAGGACCTTTCGAATTAAAAAAATAAGTTACGGACCAAAAATACAAATTACCCCAAACTATAAGAACAATTCGTGTAATTTATTTATTCTAATTATAAACATTAATTTAAAGAATTTATAATGATAAGTTCAATCGGAGAACTAATGATGTGTCAGCTCTAGTTGTTATTCAATGGATAAAACTTTATCATAATGAGATGTTACATTGAGATTCAATTGATTTAAAGTTCAATGGTCATTGAACTATTTTATTGGAAAAAATAAAGTTTTCTAATTCTTAATACATATACTATAAATTAGTTTTTACACTATTATACTAAACAAAATAAAGTTTTCTAATTCTTAATACATATACTATAAATTAGTTTTTACACTATTATACTAAACATTGTAAAGTTCAATACACACTGTATGAAAAAATTGATAGATTTTATGGAATATAAAAAATAATATAACAATTCATTAAATTCTATGATGTTCATTATGGATTTATGGATGCCCTTAGTAAAAACATGACATGCATAATTGTAGCCAAAGCCTTTAATTAAAATTTAACAAGTACAAAATCCTCATTTTCTCAAATTATAATATTGTAAAGAACGATTTGTCTCAACAAGTAAACGTTGTAGTTACAAAACATATAGAAAACAAATGTAATTATATAAGCACAACAATCATCATGTTGTTTTATTTCGATAATCAGAAAGATATTGAAACAGACTTCTCTAGCCATGCAAACTTTGTAATCAGAAAAGACATACAGAAAACATATGAATATGCACAACAACTATGCATCCCTAGATTCTTCAATTACTGCAGTCATCTAAATCCCATATAGAGCCCTGAGCCCTTGAATGTCGTCTGAGGTCAAACCTTTCGTAACCCCGGCGCTGAAACTACCCCACATTATCGCACTCTGAAACTGGCTATGATCAAGCCCAAGAAGGTGCCCTATTTCGTGTAATGCCAAAGTCTCCATATCGAATGTATTTGGCACTGCTCCAATCGCCCATCTTTCATCCGCATCAAAATGAAGTCTTCCATCTACAGGTGGAAAAGCATGGGCCAACACCGCACCAGATCCGTTAAACGGACTCCCATCTCCATGCGACACACGCTGAAAACTAATCTTAAGATCAGCACCTTGATAACTTGTAGCTCTTGTAAACGTGAAATATCGTCCAGAAGCAGTGGCCCATTTGTTAAAAGCTCGAGTAACAGGTGGCATGAACCGGGTTGGGAAAAGTGGCCCAAACCCATAAGTTAGATGCCTTTTAACACTAGGCCATTTTGGTGTTCCGGGAAGGAATTGGTAATGCGAGACTATGTGGAAAGAGTTATCAGTGTGTTGGTGAATTACTTTATCGGGGAAACCACAACGAGGCATGGCCATCTGGGATATCGTTGGCTCGTCAAGCGTCCCTGTCGCGTTGAGATGATAGTAGACCTGGTACGACTTGAGCGCTACCTCAAGCTTATCGTCAAAATGATCTTCTTCAAGGTCTGCGAGATTAGGGTTTTTGTGGTAGTTTAGGTATCCGAAATGAGCAAGATAGAGTTTAAGGTCACGAATGCCTTTTACTGTGTCGCCCTTATGAGACCCTTGCATGGCTTTAAGAGACCCAAAAGGCGACGAGTTCGTATCTTTACTGGACAATGTATTTGGTCGTAAATGAGTGTCGTGAGGATGTGAAAGAACTGTTAGGATAAAGGAAGCAAGAAGGAGTATGCATGAAAAGGGAAGAAAGAGTTTAGAATTTCTAGATGCCATTACAACTTCTAAGTTTAGATGTTGAAATGTTGAGAGTACTTCTTTATGAGGTTTATAGTCTGGGTCTCTATTTATAGTGATTTTCTCTTGTAGTATTATTTATTTATTATTGCTTTTAGAGTCTAGAGACATGACGTTTGTATGTGACGTACGTTTATTTTGATTTTGGATATGATTAAAATTTTTGGCCGTTCAAAGATGGAAAATAATAAATAAAATTAAAACTTGTGACTCTAATTAAGTCTTTCAATGTCCATGATAGATAGAGTCAAGATGTGACAATATGATAGGAAGCCCGTAAGAAAAAGCATATCGACCTCTTTAAGTTTTACGATTTATTTTTTCACGTTTTTATTTTTGTCTCTAAGTGTAACTATATATTAACTTAATTTAATAAAAACCACTTAATAAAAAATAAAATAAATTTCACCATTAAATAGATGTTATCGATATATTTAAAACAAGCCCCATATTATTATGTTTTGAAAAAAAAAATTGTCAGTTTCATTTTATTTTTAGTTTCACAATAAACATATATATTGACTAAATATTTTATTAAAGTGTATATATGATATGTTCAACAACGAACTTTAGAAAAGTTCATTTTCCTTCGGTTTATAATATTTAGACTTAAAAATTCTAAAGAAAATTCCGTTAAAAAATACGAGTTTAAAACTTATAATTTAAACAAAAAATTTGAATCCAAATATTATTTCATATACCATATACGATTAAGATAAAGCTTTTATGTGTTATAACAAATTTACTACCAAAAGACTTTTAGTCTAGTGGTATTGATGTTGTCCTCCCTCATTGAGGTTAAGGATTCAAATCTTGTCGTAGACATTAGTAAATTTAAGATGTAGTTTAGAAATAATTTAGTTTTGCCTTTTAAAAAAATAATAATAACAAATTTACTAGATTAGCTTTATGTTTCTATTTAGCTTTTATATAAATGTCATTTTATATGATTTTATACATCAAAATGGTCAAGTTAATTTTACTGAAAACACATATAAAAGTAAGAATTATAGTATTTTAATCAAACTATTAATTTTGAGATTTTATCTATCATCTTCGATTTAGTTTTACCAAACATACCATAACACTTTCAAATACTTTCTTATTTAGCTTTTATATAAATGTCATTTTATATGATTTTATACATCAAAATCGTCAAGTTAATTTTACCGAAAACTCATATAAAAGTAAAAATTATAGTATTTTAATCCAACTAGTAATTTTAAGATTTTATCTATCATCTTCAATTTAGTTTTACCAAACATACCATAACACTTTCAAATACTTTCAAAGAAAAAACATCAAGCACCAAGTTAAGCACCAAGTTTTAAGTTGATAACTAACTCCTTTAGTAAGCCAACTTTGACATACTAGAAGTAAGGTCAATTAGGCGCTTATTAGAAAAGGATACCACGAGGAGCAACTTTTATCGTGAATCTTCATTTGTGATTTATGATCATTTTAAATATATAAAAGGTTTTAATAGAATTAAGGATTAACATAGCAAATATACCGAATCATATAGTAGTATAGTTAAAGAAGAGATTAAGATTGAGTTGTCGAACTCTAAGAAAACCGGTATGATATAGTTCACAATATTTAAATACTGGTTAGACTGTGTTTGACACGATATAACTAGCTAATAAACTACTTTATTTTTTGAATTTTTTAAGTTGTCATGTTTGGCAAACCAAAAATTAGCTTATAAGTTAGCTTTATTAAAAAGCTACTTATACTACCTTTTTACGAGCTTTTTAAAATTTTCCAAATATATCCCTTAATTAATTATATAAACACATTCTTTTAAATGCTTTTTTATGTCATTTTATATATTCAGCTAGCTTTTGAGTTAGTTTACAAAACGTTATTTATTATCAGCTAATTTTTTATTTAACAACTAGTTTTTCAGCTAGTATGTTAAACATAGTCTTAATCTAAAAAAAAAAAAAGGGAACTGCTATACACACTAAATTAAATGAAATTAGAAAACAAATGAGATTAAAGATTGAATTAAAGACAAGATATTTAAAGTATTTTTACTTAGATTCAATCACTATTCATAATAAAACATTTTTTTGAACATAAAATAATTATTTTTTGGTCATGATAAGTATCTAAAAACATTTAATGGTAATCTAGTATTTAATGGTCATCTAGGGTCATGTCACACATAAAACTTCATTAAGTTATCACCTAACCATTTGAATCAGTAGTTACAACAATTTAATGATGATAAAGTAGTTATGATTCAAACAAATAGTAGTGGACTCAAGATTAAAGTAAAAGGGTATCTCTGACAAGTAAATGGGTATCCATGACAAAAAAAAAAAATCATGTAAAACACAATAAGAAAAAAAATTCCCGAAAAATTACACTACTAAATTTTTTTAGAGGGGTATCTGGGGCTACCCTTTGATATATACTAAATTTGCCGATGCAAACAAATATAATCAGCTTGGTTGTATAGACTATATAAACTCAGCAATAGGTAATCAATATATAAATGTTAGCATATAAGATATTTGAACAAACAAACATATTAGATTAAACAACTAATAAATCTGATATTTGAAATCAAATCATAAAATAAGGGGTTCCTATACATCTAAGTTGTAACATCCCGTGTTTCTAGGTATTTTCAAATCCTTCCTTTAGTAAATCAATATGCCATGATTGGTCCTTAATACTGGTCGAATTTAGCCCTAAGAGGCCCGAGGGGCAAATTGGTAATTTTGGTCGTGAGGGGGGGGGGGAGTGGGTGGGTACGTTATGCGTACATATGAGTCTGGTAGGCATACAAGGGCGTACCCTAGTATGTAGGGCATAAGCATATGTACGCAGGGCGTATGTATGTCTGATTGAAACCCTAACTTTTAGGGTTTATTGGGTATTTAAATCCTATTATGGACCCTTTACCCCCATCCTTTCAGCCTCCAAGTCCTAAGATTGTTTCTTGGCAACCCTAACTTCTCTTTTTGTGTGTGTGTGTGTATGCTAAGAGTGTGTTTTTGTGTGGTTGAAGAAGAAGAAGTTGCATCAAGGTGTTTGAAGGATGAAGAAAGCTTGTAGATTTGGGATCATCTTGTCATTTAGAAGTTCCATAAGGTAAAAACCCTCTGCCTTTGTGCTTATTTTGTATGGATCTTGTTTTGTTAGCTTTTTGGTACTCTTCTTGTCCCAAAAGTCCCAATATAGTGCATGAGTTGTCTTAGACGTTTTGAGTTGTCCTTTCAGACCCTAAGAAGGGTTCTAAGTCATAAAAATGAGGTCCCTTTGGCTAGTTTGGCTTTATATTGAATATAGTAGGTCTTAATGGATTAAGACCATTCATTAGGTACTTTTTGGGAAATCCAAAGTCTTAATGCTTGAGACTTTATGGTTCTGAGATACATTTGGTCGATGGATTTGGAGTTTGGGCTTAAGTGCTTAAGCCATTAAGCACTTATTAGAGTTTTAAACTCTGCGAGGGTACGCCTCGCATAAACGGAGTACGCCCTGTGTACACAGTCAACACCCCCGTTTTCCAGTCAATACGAGGCTCTCATACACCCCGCGTAGCCTTGTAGTACGCCCAACGTACGTCTTTTGATGGGCCTTTTTCATGTTGGGTTGTGGTTGTGGGCCATCTTTGGGCCATCACTTCTTCAGCCTTTTTTGGATCTTCTGAGTTGAAGGAATTAGACCTTAGGATGCGGTTTATTAGGGAGTTTGGCCCAATTTAGAAAATTTGGCCAATTATAGGCCTTGTATATTTGGACCTTTTTGGATCAAGATTGGATTAGGCTTTGGCCCAGTTAAGAAAGAGCTAATGGACAATTATAAGTTAAGAGATTCGAAGTAATAATCTAATTATTAATTGGAGGTTTATTTGTTATGATAGTTTGAGGTTTTCGTGAGCTAGCAGCCAGAGCCTTTGTTTGATTCATCAGTAAGCGGTGAGTCTTCCTCACTATACTTTCGGGTCGAAGGCACCAAGGCCGGCCCATTGGTTTGATAATCTAATTTCGCTATCACATTAAGTATGGTATACTTATGCATGCTAGTCTTGTTATGCTAGCCTGATGGATCTTTAGGATTACCTGTGAATTGCCTATTTATCTACTTATGATATTATCTATTTTATGTCGATATATTGTGTGGGTTAGGTTGAGGTTGTAATGCTTTGTGCTGTAGCCAACAAACCCTAGAGCATACTAGATATGAGCTGAGGGTCAGGAAGGGCATTCCAGACTCATACTAAGGGCTCATGGGCATTCTAGATACGAGATGAGGGCTAGGAAGGGCATGTCGCACACGTATTGAGGTATGGGGTGCAAGCCAGGCATAAGTTGTGGGCCAAAAGGGGCAAGTCAGACTTATGTTGTGGGCTCAAGGTTAATCCAGTCTGTTAGTTGTGGACCCATTGCATGCTGATATTATATTTGTATTGTTTGTTATGTACTAGTATTTTGGGGAAACTCACTAAGCTTTAGGGTTATAGTTTTGGTTATATATCAGGTACTTCAGATGATCGCGAGAAGGCGAAGGCTTGATCATACAGCTCCTCATGTTTTTGTGTTATGATTTATGGGAAAACTCTTATGTGAAACTCATTTTGAAAACAAATTATAATTAATGATGTTTTTGGGATGTTTGAAAAGGTTTTAAATTTTTATATATTTTATGGATGTTACAAGTTGGTATCAGATCCTTGGTTTGAGTGAACTGGAGGAACACTCGTGTGAATCCAGTCTCAAACCAAGGAAAATATTTTCAAAAAAAATTGGTTTTCAAACGGTTTTGAAAAATACTAAAGGAGGATGCCATGCGTATGATCAGTCGGAACCAGTAAGTAGACCCCAGAATACCATACGATTGTTTGATGATTGTGATATTATAGAAAAACATGCTAGTGATAGGCTAGGGATCTTCATGGATTGCATGATAGAATTGCCTGAATTTATGATTCTTGATAGCCTAGGGCCTTTCTTTTATGAAAT